ACACAGATAATGAATGACAGCATGATATCTTTTTCCCCCGATATAAGCTTTTACCCATAAGCTTTCACTATGGCCAATAATTCTGCTTCTTGTATTCTAACCAATCATCCTTTCTAGGATACGGTATGTTCTGAGGGACAGGTGCCTTCAGAAAAGCACACAATGGCTTCCAACCATCACCTACAGTGTACTCTAAGAACTTTCTCTCCTTGCTTGCCGTTCTCACGTGCTCATTATGTCGTCAAAAAAGACCCAGACCATTCTTGTCAAAGTCGTCATCCCAGCAGAACTTGCTGTAAGTTCTAGACATGGCCGCCATAGGAGTTGTTTCATCAATCTCCCGATACTTAAGATAGTGCACGATAGTGTCCTTCATGCTCTTTGCCCATGAATCTTCCGACCGCACTGTCAAAATGACGGCAGCTTCAGGATAGGCTGCGAGCAGTTCGTCGACGAATATAGCGGCTGGGTAATCGGAGACGCCTTTGTAATCTTTCAACAGAACTGGGACAAGACTATCCTCCGGAGGCGTTGGGGAACCATCATTATCGAACTTTTCATAAAGAAGGGCTGTCCAGACATCCGCATGGCCATTTTTGTCCACTTCTCGCATGTGGTAGATCGGAGAGATGCCAAGTATTGCCAATGCGTCGGCGAGGGCTGTAGTGGTATTGTTGTTAGATAAGTGGCAGGCAGAGCAATAAGCCTCTGCATGGAGACTTACATTGTGTACCCGTCCGAGGCAATCCAAGAACTAAAACTTGCATCGTATCAAGGTGAGACTTGCTGTACTATGAAGCTTCGTAGATGTGACAGCCATGAATGTCTACTAGATCTCGAATATTTGGCGCGTTGCCTTCTTTAAGTACCTATCAGTAACTCCTTGACGCCCAATGGCTTTACGCCAGTGTTCCGACTTTTCGGTGAACTCCCGATAAACCCCTCAAGCACTGCAACAACTGATGGGAGAGAGAGAGAGGGAGAGAGAGAGAATTAGGTATCAATTGTGACTAGCTATCTTCTGTACAATCAGACTAGTATACCCTTAGTGCCTGTAATTACAAGCTATTGATGTCTAAGTTGTGGGCTAGAAGTGTCATTCGTAGTCAAGACTTGTGGCTGAGAGCTCATTCCAGCAGAGGAAACCTAGTATTTGCAAGCTAGCCTATTTTCAGCAGCTGGTTATCTGGCTAATATGATAAGCGCTACTGAGAAAACATCCCGTGATGCTGCTTAGACTCAGACTGCGCGGCAACATCTGGCCGAAGATTATCTTCGGGACCCAACTGTGTCCATGCTATCGCATCTCGGCTTTTAGCTTTTTTCAGACTGCTCTACGATTAGAAAATCCCCGCTATATACCGTGTCTACGCAGCTAGGAAAATGACTATTATCTGTTAGTCTACTACTTCCTCGGTTACCAGTTAAGAGATAGACAATGAATGATCGGGCTTGATGGTTGATAGTCTAATATTTGAGTATTCATCTTGAACTATTATGAAATCACTACTGCTATTCTTAAGATAACTTATGAATAATGGTAGCTACCCCTTTTACTGTCCGAACCCCTTCAACTTGTCCAGCAACCCACTTACTTCTATTAAAAACATGTCTATACACACCCGAGTCATCCGCCTTCTTATATAATACATATATCTTGTCGTTGAACACAATAGCGGTAATAGCCCTTGGCGATGTCGCTGGTGTTGATGTCAGTGCCGCCCTACCATCATCGACCGTTAAAGACATTATATCGAGGTTTCTCCTAGAGAATGCCTTAATGTAATAGGTACAGTTTATCTCTAAATATAAAGGCATATGTGCCTGGTAAGGTTATATTATTTAGAATAGCTATAATACCTCCTGCTATATATTTATATATAAAGCGCGTGATATAATCTATTAACTATAGGGGCTATTAACTTAAAATAATACTCTAATTAAAGTTAATCTAAGTAATATACTAGCTA